TAGCCCAGTCACCATCCGAGGTCCCAAACTCTGTTATATTTGATCCCCTCAAGGATATGTTTTCATCATCAGCCCTGTGCTGCTAAGGAAAAAGGAGGCTCAGAGAGGTTGAAGGATTTGCTCGAGATCACACAGTGAATCATGTTCTATCTGCTGAGTGCAAACCCTACAGGTTCAACCTACAAAACGCAATCTTCACAGAATCCAGTCTCTTAAGTAGTAAAAACACAAGCTTGCTTCAGCAAGACTGACACATACATTCCTACAAAGCTTAGAAGCTGCTATAGAAAGACAAGTTTGTCCTCCCCCTCTGGCTGGTGGAATCTGACTATAGTTAACCCTCATAAACACCCTGAGGCCAAGCCAGCATCCCAAGAAACATCCGGAGAAAACAGACTTTACCTTGATAATGTCTACCCCGAGAGCTACTCTGCCCTGATGTTTTTGCAAACATACTTCCCCAAGCTTCAAACCGTCCTGCCAGACTCTTTTCTGCTCTCCCAAAGAGACCTATGACATCACCTGCCCTTCATAGTCCTTCCCCCTCCCAGGACTGCCACTCATCTGTAAAAGCAGGGGACTGCTTTAGATTGTGGAGGGCACAGGTTCCACTGGGCATGTTACTTCTAGCTGATTGGTTTTGCCTGTGTTGAAAAGCCTCCTCAAGCTGCATCCGGGGGTCAATTGGGAGTGCTGTGGTTGATGCTGTCTGCCATGGGTCCAGTATGAGGGGTAATTGCCAAGGGCAAGATATTTGCTATCCATGGACAAGACGATCACCATGGAAGTCACTTAGAACTCTAGTCCTAAGACACAGAATTATCATCCTTATTCCCTATCCAAACCTTTATACTCTATCCTCCCTCACAGGCCCATCAACATTGGAGCTTCTTGGGCAGTATTTTAAATCCAGTAAGATGGAAAAGCAAACATCTATTTCAAGTCCACTGTCCTTTGAAAGACTGAGCAACAAGAAATCCTAAGTAGCTGCAACTTGTGGTGTGAGGGTAGCTGGGTTTCAACCCAGTTTTATCAGTGAAGTGCTCTATGACCTTGGGAAAGTCCTTGTATTTCTGGGTCTCCACTACTTCAAGAAATTTGGATCAGGAGTCCCATTCTCCTTGCATTCAACTGCATCTAGACACTGTGCTAGGATTCTCAAGACTGCCAAGGGAAGTCCATCATCTGTCTCACTGACTCTGAGACATACATATGTTGGGAAGTATTGTCCCATTTTCCAGAAGAGGAAGCTGAGGCAGGTGGAGGGACTTGGCCCAAATTCTAGGGCAAGTAGCTAACGGAGGAATTATGCCTGGGCCCTGTGATCAGATCCAGACTTCCTCATCCCATTATCCTGCCTCCATAGGGGGCAGTGGCCAGGCTCCTCACAGCCACCAGGGGCTTTGGAACCAATTACCTCTGCAGAGGAGGCTCCCCCAGATTATCAGCCGCACATAAGCTTAGATGTGCACTATGCATTAACTCGGAGAATTGGCTGCGCATGGTGGCCCATGCCTGTAATCCCAATACTTTGGAAGGCCAAGGCAGGTGGATCACTTGAGGTCAGAAGTTCTAGACCAGCCTGGCCAACATGGTAAAACCCAGGTGTGGTGGCAGGTGCCTATAATTCCAGTTACTCCAGAGGCTGAGGCAGGAGAATTGCTTGAACCAGGGAGCAGAGGTTGCAGTGAGCTGAGATTGTGCCACTGCACTCCAAGCTAGGTGACAGAGAAGGACCCCATCTCAAAAAAAAAAAAAGAAAAAAAAAATACTTGGAGAATTAATCACTACCATAGGAGTTATTTACAGACATTCCCCTTCCCTGCTCTTCAAATACATCTCCTTAAAATGGGATAGTGAATGAAATACCTTGAGTAATCTAATTCATAGAAAGAATGGTGGTTGCTGGCCAGGCACGAAGGCTCACTCCTGTAATCCCAACACTTTGGGAGGCAAAGGTGGGTGGATCACCTTAGGTTGGGAGTTTGAGACCAGCTTGACCAACATAGTAAAACCCTGTCTCTACTAAAAATACAAAAAATTAGCCGGGTATGGTGGCACATGTCTGTAATCTCAGCTACTCGAGAGGCTGAGGCAGGAGAATCCCGTGAACCCAGGAGGCAGATGTTGCAGTGAGCCAAGATCGCACCCCACTGCACTCCAGCCTGGGCAACAGCGAGACTGCATCTCAAAAAAAGTGGTTTCCAGGGGCTGGGCAATGCGGGAATGAGGAGTTAATGTTTTTTTTTTGTTTTTTTTGAGACGGAGTTTCACTCTTGTTACCCAGGCTGGAGTGCAATGGCGCGATCTCGGCTCACCGCAACCTCCGCCTCCTGGGTTCAGGCAATTCTCCTGCCTCAGCCTCCTGAGTAGCAGGGATTACAGGCACGCACCACCGTGCCCAGCTAATTTTTTTGTATTTTTAGTAGAGACGGGATTTCACCATGTTGCCCAGGATGGTCTCGATCTCTCGACCTCGTGATCCACCCGCCTCGGCCTCCCAAAGTGCTGGGATTATAGGCGTGAGCCACCGCGCCTGGCCGAAGTTAATGTTTAACAGTCACTGAGTTTCAGTTTTCGAAGATGCAGAGTTCCAGTGATGGATAGTGGTGATGGTTATATAACAATGGGAATGAACTTAATGCCACTGAACTGCACCGCTGAAAAATGGCTAAGATGGGCCAGGCATGGTGGCTCGCACATGTGATCCCAGCACTTTGGGAGATCACCTAAGGTCAGGAGTTCAAGACCAGCCTGGCCAACATGGTGAAACCTCGTCTCTCCTAAAAATACCCAAATTAGCCAGGTATGGTGGCACTCGTCTGTAGTCCCAGCTACTTGAGAGGCTGAGGCACAAGAATTGCTTGACCCGGGGAGGCAAAGGTTGCAGTGAGCCGAGATGGCGCCACTGCACTCCAGCCCGGGTGACCGAGTGAGACAGTCTCAAAAACAAAACAAAAAAAGGTTACGGTGTCAATTTTATGTGTATCTTACTATAGTCTAAAAATGGACTAGTGAGCGGCCCACTGAAGAGTACTCTACAATTTGTAGAGTCCCAGCAATTATCAAACTGCTTTTTCTCGTTCCAAACCTAAAAGTCACAAATAAAATATTTAAAACTAAGCATATTAAAAAATTTCTCTGATTTGAGTTAAATTTATTTGTGAGCAAGGGCTGATAAATAATCTGCCTATAATCTCTTGACTGAAATTCACCAAATATAAATACAAGAAAAGGAATCCAAATAGAAAATAAATATCAGAGGTGTACAAAGGCAGTCATGGATGTGTTAGCATCATAGAAACTTGGACAGGAATTGGATAACAGATTGTATGGAGATAAAAAACAAAAACTAAGACTTCAAAAAAGAAAATAATTTATAAATATATTGTATGATATTATATAAAACAAAAAAAGTCATCTTAGTCTCATTGCCCTAACACATTCCATACCAAAACTTTTAAATTGCAATCCTGCAATCATAGAAACTTATGCTTTGGCTTTTTTTGTTTGTTTGTTTGAGACAAGGTCTCACTCTGTTACCCAGGCTGGACCGCAGTGGCATAATCTCGGCTCACTGCAACCCCCACCTCCCAGGCTCAAGGCATCCTCCCGCCTATCCTTCCAAGTAGCTGGGACCACAGGTGTTTGCTACCACACTCAGCTAATTTTTGTTTTTTTGTTTTTTTTTTAAATAGAGACAGGTTTTTGCCATAGTCTGGTCTTGAACTCCTGGGTTCAAGTGATCCTCCTGCCCTGGCCTCCCAAAGTGCTAGGAATACAGGAATGAGCCACCACGTATGGCCAGAACGTCAAATCTTGGCTAAGCTGTGTGCCTGCATGAATATCACTTTACCTTTCTTTCCTTCTTTCCTTCTTTCTTTCTTTCTTTCTTTCTTTCTTTCTTTCTTTCTTTCTTTCTTTTTTTTTGAGACAGAGTCTCGCTCTGTTGCTCAGGCTGGAGCGCAGTGGGGTGACCTTGGCTCAGTACAACCTCTGTCTCCAGGGTTCAAGCAGTTCTGCTGCCTCAGCCTCCCAAGTAGCTGGCATTATAGGCACCCACCACCACATCCAGCTAATTTTTGTGTTTTTAGTAGAGATGGGTGTCGCCATGTTGGCCAGGCTGGTCTCGAACTCCTGACCTCAGGTGATCTACCCACCTCAGCCTCCCAAAGTGCTGGGATTACAGGTGTGAGCCACCGTGCCTAGCCCACTTTACCTTTCTGTTCCATCACCTCTCAAAATAGCAATAATTGCAACTTGCCTCCCTCAGCACCTGGAGGAGCAACAGGGCTCTGTGCACTGTGCAGTGCTACATGAAAAAAGTTAGCAACAAGTAGAGAATGCTGAAGAAACCACGTATTGATGACTTACGATCAGTATAAAAATCAACAGTAAGTATTTAGTTCACCCCTGTAATCCCAGCACCTGGCCAACATGGTGAAGCTCCGTCGCTACTAAAAATACAAAAGTTAGCTAGGCGTGGTATCACACTCCTGTAGTCCCAGCTACTCAGAAGGCTGACGTGGGAGGATCACTTGAACCCGGGAGGCAGAGGTTGCAGTGAACTGAGATTATGCCACTGCACTCCAGCCTGGGTGACAGAGACTGTCTCAAAAAAAAAAAAAAGGTTTTAATGTTCATTTGAAAACATAATCACAATGGTCCGGCATGGTGGCTCATACCTGTAATCCCAGCACTTTGGGAGATGGGTGGATCACCTGAGGTCAGGAGTTAGAGACCAGCCTGGCCCATATGGGGAAAGCCCGTTTCTACTAAAAATACAAAAATTAGCTGGACATGGTGGCTCATGCCTATAATCCCAGCTACTCAGGAGGCTGAGGCAAGAGAATCACCTGAACCCGGGAGGTGGAGGTTGCAGTGAGCAGAGATTCATGCCATTGCACTCCAGCCTGGCTGACAGAGCTAGCCTGGGTGACAGAGAACTCCGCCTCAAAAAAAAAAGAAAATATAATTATGTGTAGTACCTTCATTATCACACCTCTTTAGGTTAACTGAGATCCTGACCTTGAGACTGCTCCAGATGTAACCCCTGCCTCCCTCAAGACACCTCCCAGCCTGCCCTGGACTGCCTCCTTCCCACCGCCCAGTCACTGTCCCTGAGATGCCTTCCCCAATCTCTCAGCACCCTATTTGTTACCTTTAGAGCTCTCATCACAATCAGATTAGACAGTATTTGTTACCTGCTTGGGTGGGGACTCCAAGCTGGAGGGAAGTCAATCTTGTTCCCTAGTCTCTCCCTGGCTCCAGGCACAGCACTTGGCACTCAAGTAAATGAATGGCTGACTGTTTGGAAAGAGAAGTGGAGGTGGGGTGGGAAGGAGGGAGGAGCCCAGTCTTTGGCCCTCAGCCCCCACCATTCCCACACACTGCTGCACGTGCCTCTTTTAAAGAAACTGCTGGGACAGCAGCAACAGTGGCAGCCCTACCTTTACTGGGTGATGTCAGACAAGGCCCCCCTTCCCCATTCCACCTTGGCTTGCACTTGCCACAGGCAGACAACTCCTGATGACTACCTCACCCCTGTGCAGGGCAACAGCCACGTCAGGAAGCGTGGGAAGGCAAGAAAGTTCCAGGAGAGCCTAGAACTATCAAACCTATTCTCGGTACAGTCCATAACAGGTCCTAGTCACAGTCCTCAGCAGGAAGCTGCCCAGATACAGTGATGACCCTGCAGACAAAATTCTAGCTCAAAATACCCATCAGAGTCTGACAGCACTGGGTAGATCTCTCCAGCCTGATCTTGGGTGTCCTGAACCCTGGACAGAATGCCCTTCCTCCCATTCCCACACACAAGGCATTCGCCTCTCCCCGACCCAGGCCACCTTCTCCCATCAGAGCCCCAGCGCTTGGCAAACAGCCATCAAATGACTGACTCCACTTCAAAGAGCCCACCCAATTCACCTACATCTTTCCAGGCATGAGACATGGACAGTTTTGGCTATTTCAAGTCTTCTCTTTCCCCCTGGATATTAGTAACTAATATTACTATTAGTAACTAATAATTACCAGCAGCTAATCCTTCTTAAACGTTTCCTCTGTATCAGGCACTGTGCTTAGTGCTTTGCACACATTTCTCGTGTCATATGGAGACTACAATCAGGTATTACTAGCATCTCTAGTTTGCAGGTGAAAAAACAACCCAGAGAAGTTAAGTACCTTGCCCAAGGTCTCACAGCTCTAGCTGGCAGCCCAGGATCCAACTCTCAGCAGTCCGACTCTGGAGAGATGCTCTTAACTACAGGTACAAACGACCTTTGGGGTGTGGACTTCCTGATCACCTACTGTGTGCTCAGTGGGTGCCCTTAGGGACTGGACTCCAGTTCTGTGCTTAGGGACCTTGTGACTGTGCAAAGGAGAGGAGAGGTACATAAAAATCGTAACTGCCAGGCATGGTACCTTACACTTGTAATCCCAGCACTCTGGGAGGCTGAGGTGGGCAGATTGCTTGGGCCCAGGAGTTCAAGATCAGACCTGGGTAGCATAGTGGGATATCTCTATTTTTAAAAAATCATATTTAGTCTAGCAACAAAATTGATACCATATTTGCACTGATAAGTCTGATAACTTCCTTACTAAATGCACAGGAAATAGGAACCTGAGACCCCAGCTAATCAGGTAAGAGCTAATATCTGAAATACACAGGCCAACCAAACTGGGTGTTATGATACTCTCTCACCAGCTTCCAGGAACCAAATTCAACTTAATAGCAGAGACACAAGGAGCTCCCTTCTGCTGACAAACAAATGACGAATCTGCAGGCCAGAGCAGGGAAGGGTCTTGCCAGAGGCCACCCATCAAGGCAGTGGCATAAAGAGGTGAGAAGTTAGCAGTTCCCGCTCCCCCATCCCTTGCTTTCAGGCCATCTGGGTCCCAAGAAGAAACTATAGGAGGTGAGTGCCCATGGTGACCCAAAGTTTAAGAGTTTTCATGGTAAAGACAGGGCGCTGGCTCTTACCTTCAGGGAGAGTGAAATGCTCTGTGAAAACTGGGTTTGGGAAGCCAGCATTTCTTTACCAAGCTGACAGAGGCCCAGCTCCAGCTCAGCCCTGTCCCGGAAGAAAAAGAGTTTAAAAGACCTACTTGGAGCCTGGCTGGGACCACACCTACATGGGGCTGACTTCACCAGGGAACCCGTCCTACTGGCTGTCTCCCAGACAGCAGTAGGCCAGGCCAGGACGCCACCGCTTGTCTGTAGCCTGGTGCCTCTCCCTGCAGGGCTCCACCCAGTCCCTGCCCCAGCCAGGCTTCCAGAGCAAGGGTGGGAGTGGGTACGGAAAAGGCCTGCTCCCCTCCTTATGAGGCCACCTGGGCCTGGGTCCCTCAGAGCCTTCCCTTCGTCCGGGCTGGGTCTGAAGCAGCTGCTTCCTGCTTTGCTGTTTTTCTTTCACTTTGGTTTTTAACCCCAAAGTGAAACTGACAATTGGAACCATTTGGGAAAGATGTTGAGAGTCAAACACCTGGCTTCTAATCCCAGCAGAAGTGAGCCAAGACCTGTCAAGTTTGCTGGAAGACTTGGGAGGAGACCCTCAGCTTCTCCAGGCCACAGTTTTCCCACTGATAAAATAGGAGGGAGGAATTAAGCTACTGATTTTTTTTCGAGACAGGGTCTTGCCTTGTCACCCAGGTTAGAGTGCAGTGGCACAAACACCTTACTGCAGCCCTGACCTCCTGGGCTCAAGTGATCCCTTCACTTCAGCCCACAAGTAGCTAAGAGTACAGGTGTGCACCACCACACCCAGCTAATTTTTGTATTTTTTATAGAGATGGGGTTTCGCTATGTTGCCCAGGCTGGTCTTGAACTCCTGAGCTCAAGTGATCTGCCCGTCTTGGCTTCCCGAAGTGCTGGGATAACAGGCGTGAGCCACCATGCCTGGCCACTAGGCTAGTGATTTTAAAAGTCATTTTAAACTAGAAAAAAAAAATGATGGAACTTCCCCTTCCTCATCCCTGCTACTAGTGGAGCTAAAAAGGAGCTGCAAAGATGATCTGTTGGGGGTGGGGTGGTTTTGGGCCATTCTGTTGACTTGGGGGAGGAGACAACACTCGTAACTGTGTAGGCATGCTCCTGGTCTCCCTGACCACCTCTCTTGGATCCACCAACTGAGTTCCTTTAGCCTGCACAGGCCCTGGAGGTCCCAGCAACTTGGGGAGAGCAAATTTAGGAAGACCCTAAGGCATGATCTTTTTTTTTTTCTCATCTTGTATGTTCTTCCAACAAAAGCCTAAGTGTGGTCTTGACCCTGTCTCAGCACAGCAAGAGGAGACACCTACCAACAGCTGCCCTAAAACTTCCAGCCTGAGGGCTGACCCAGACATCTGCTAGGACTGACAATGACCCACCCAGGACTGGTCTAGACTTCAGAATCTCTGCTCACCCTGACATGCCTACTCTGTCTAGCTAAGACTGCTGTAATATATTTCACAATGTCTTTCCACTGGCTGGTTTACCAAATAGCCCAGGGACATAAGAAAGGCAGGAATGAGTCTCCCAGCTCTTCAGATGAGGAAAACTGAGGTTCAGTGAAGGGCAGGGGTATCGTGGCCAAGCAAGCACTAAGGTTCAGGAGGTCAGTAAAAATTTGAATGAGCTCACCCACCCCGCTGTTGCCAAGCAGGTACAGCACGAGAGGAGCTCATGGAGGAAATAAATTTGAATCTGGGGGCGAAGGTGGGGTGCCTTTTAAAATATATACATTTTCAGAATGGAAAAGAAGGCAATTAAAAATATCTGACACAAAATAAACAAAAAACAAACAAAAATATCTGACAAAATTTTCAGTGCACAGACTCTTGGAAAGAGCAATTCCGTGTGCAGGAATGGCTCCAACAGTGACACATGCACTCGTGCATAAAGACACATAGGAAAGAGTGTTCACTGCAGCACTGTTTACAGCGGCAAGACTGAGAATAAGCTAAACATCCTTGAGTAGAGGACAAATAACTGGTGGTCTAACCATCAATGGAAAGCCACACGCTCACAAGAAAAGGTGGCCATGAACCTGTATGTACCCACAGAGAAAAACCTGCAACAGACTCGCATGAAAAATGCAAGGTATAGAAAAGCAGGGAGAAAATATGCCACTGTTTAAGTAATAAAAAGGGATGTTACTGACAATAGCTGCACCCATATGCTGAGTACTTCTATAAGGAAACCTCAAGATTGGTCACAGTGATGAGGTGTCTGGGTAGGACAGGGACTAATTTTTCATTGGGCCTTTTTTTTTTTTACCAAGTTCAACTTTAACCAACGTACATGTATTGCTTTTACAGTAAAAATATAACTTTTACACACACACAAAAACCCTCCAGCAAAATGTGTCCAGAGATGCCTCTTCCTAGATTTCAGGCATCAGACTCCTTGGGTTGGGAGGGAAGGCAGGACCCAGGCACCCAGATTTTGAAAAGTCTCCTCAAGGGCTGCTGGTCTAGCCTTGCAGAACAGGCAGTCAGCACCTGAGAATAGACGGAGGCAGCCTGGACGCTGTGGGGGATCTGTGGTGTGGAGGAGAGTGTCAGGGAAGACTGAAGGAAAACTTGGCTTTGAGGCATAGGAAGGATTTGAAGAGGGCTCTGAATATACAGCTGAGATGAGAGGGTGCCTACCAGGAAGGACTGGGGAAATTAAGTGAGGCTGGTAGGTAGGGGAAGGAAAAGGAATGTCTCTCAGCATGGGATCCTGGCAAGTCCCTTCCCTCTGAGGTTTGGTTCCTACTCATGGGAAAGGAAGGAGATGGACAAGTCCTTTCCAGACCTGCTATCCTAGGACCTGCCTTGATCTCATCTCATTTAATATTAAAGGAGGTGGGGAGGGTCCCCAGCTCAGCACATGGCCATAGAGCTCCACACCTGTGCAGAGTGTAATCAAATATTTGGAGGCTGCAGAAAATTCACGCCAGGATCTCGGGTAGAGCAGCCCTTGGGCGACGTCCCCCTAGGGAGAAGGAGCAGATGGCCTTCTGCTGAGATACCCTTCCTCACCCTGTTAATAATTAAGTCATTACTGAAGACCTCTTTTGTTACTTTTGAAGTTCAGTTTGCAGACTTAGGCCTTGCTTTGCTTTATTCCATGATGCTCCAGGCTGAGGGCTCACAGGCTTTGACCGTGTAGACTTAAGCCATAGGCCCAAACTACAAGGACCTGAAGTGGAGAGAGCCCAGGATGCAGGTTAGGAGCCTGGTGGTGGATTCTGGCTAGATCTCGATGCTGCTGCTGCTGCAGACTCTGGGAGGTTAGAAACTAAGTCTCTAAGGCTGCTCTGTTAGTGCTTCCCCAGGGCCAGCAGTTAATACATATTTATTGAATAAATAAGTAGCTCAGCCACAGTGACCTTGGTCACACCTCTTTCTACCAGTCAACCTGTCTTCTCTTCTGGAAAACAAGGATGACAAGAATAGTAATAGCTCCCAGAGTTGGATAAGGATCTACTGAGATAATGTGGATAAAAGTGCCTTGCAAATCGAAACAGTGGAAACAAATATTAAAGATCCAAAACCAACCTGCTGAAAAAAAAAAGAATGAATATACGTGAGAATGAGCAAATTTACGAGAAAGCACCTGACTCGAGATGGTCACCAAATAAATTACTACAATGGGAAGGGACAGCATAGGTCACTCTATTCCACGGTTCCAATGTCCAAATAGCATTTAACAGGCCATCTCTGTTCCAAAGGACCACAAAAATCTCTCCTCAAAACCTTTGTCCAGATTTTGGTATGAAGAACATGGTTACAGTTACAATCGTATCCTGCATATGGCTGGGCTCAGAGAGTATCTGCCAAAGCAGATTGGCATACAGATGCTGGGGTGTTTGCTGGAGGCAAGGGAGCAGTGGGGTGAGGGGCACCTGGAGAGTGTGCCTGCCATGTGGTAGCTCTGCCGCATGATGAAGTTTGTGTTCGGAGGAGTGTGACTGCACATTCTCTCTGCACACAGACAGAATGACTGGGTAGGAGACTTTGGCCAAGCCCTCAATTTACTGCTTGTACACGGGAACCAACCATTGCTGCCTCCCATGCTAGCCACTCTCTAAGTACCAGTTCCCTTACCTTTTCCTCCATCCATGGGGTATTCCTGGCTGCAGCCTGAGAAATGGGTTCTAGGCTCTGTCACTTGGCTCTCCTGTGCGAGGCATCTTGCCTTTGTGGGTGACTGATTGCTGTGGCTGGGCTCTCTCTGGTGGTGACTGGCTGAGAATTCCAACAGACCCAGTGGTGGGCATGCCTACTAATAGACTGGACATACACGCAGTACAACTCTGGAGGCTTCTCACAGTCCGGTGTGTAAAACTGCTGGTGTGAAAGTCCCTAGCTCCTCTGACTCTTCCACCTTGAAGGAATTCTAAACTGCCACCCTGACCTTCAGGATCCTTAGAAAGCAGGATTTGTGGGCTTTTAGGATAACTTTGCTTGCTCCTAATGAAAGGGCAAGAAGGCTCAGCTCCCTGGGACCCTAAAAGCAGGAGTTCCCTTTCCAAGAAGCAGAGCTGAGCTGTGGAAAAGCCACGGTTTGGACACTCGGCCTTGGGTCTGAGCTACATCTTCCTTATCTGCAAAACAGGGATGGTAAGTCCACCTGCCTCTGGCTTGTTATACCAGATTTCATGAACACCCTTGTGAAGCCCCTGGCGCAGAGCCAGGCAAACAGCAGGTGTACAAGAAATGTGCTCAGACTGCTACTTCCTGCCCCAAACCAGCAACACCAAACAGTTTTTTCCCTTCTGGCCCATCAGGGCGCTAGCCAGGCTCTCCTAAGGGAGCACAGCATCCTCTGACACCCAAACTGGCTCTTCCCACTCCCATGAGCCCCACCCAAGCCTCACCCTCTGTGTCATCTGGATGCCTGCAAAGCCTCCTCCCTGCTGTCATTTTTATTCATTCCAATTTACCCAGCCTGATTCATCTTCTTGAAAAAGTCCTCCAGCTGTGCCACCTCTGCTCTAAAACCTTCCATGGCTCCCTAATGCCTCTGCTTTTCAGCTGATGTTTAACACTGCCTACAACCTCCTGGCTCCTCCCCGATTTTCCAGCCAGAGCCCTGATGCCTCAGCAAAACTAGCCGACTCACTGTTTCCCTAAATGTACACTTACCATCCAGCCGTACCCTCTGCAACCTCCGCCTCCCTGGAATGTCAGCACCACCCTCTGCCTCTGCAAATCCAGACCCCATCAAAGGGCTCTTGTTTCCTCTGGCTCATGCTCACTTTTTCCTTCTCAGACAATGCTTTTCCTCAGCAGACACTTAATTACAGACTATTACACAGCCTCTCATAATTGTAGGCTTGTCTTCTTGTCAGACCATAAGTTCCTCAGGGCAGACAGGCCTTGTCTGTCTATTCTTCCCCATCCTCTCAGAGCCTGGCCCAGGGCTAGGAAGGCAGGCCCCAGAGAAGAAAGAGTTTTTCAAGCCTCATTCAGCTCCAGGCCAAGCTGAGAGTCTCTGCTCTGACCACTTGGGACCACTTCTCTTGCTCCTGTCCTGTGAGGAAACTGTTCACTGACCAAACCAGACCCCAGGGCTCCACCTGGGGATCCAAGCTAGGGACCTACAGAGACAGGAATCCCCAGGCAGGGGGCAGAGCTGTGACTCTAGCCTTGCTCCGGGATCCTATGCATCCCTTCCCGTCCCTGGGCCTGCTTCCATGCGTTGGAACAAGAAACAGCCATGTTTTAGCTCTAGAATATGACTTGTATTTCTCTTTAAGGTAACCTTTGTTTCCAAGAACGGGTGGGTGAGGAACTCAGCTGATTCCAGCACAGGTTAAGTGAGGAAAGGGAGCCACAGTCAGGTTTGGGAAATCTGGGAGCCTGAGAGAGATTTACACTGCACACCTCATCAACCTCATCAACCTCATTAAACTTCTGTGAGGACTAGACTTCATTGCCGCTCAGGTGTTCAATTCCACAGCCCGCACCCTGGCCCAGTCTGACTTGACAGTGGCTGCTGCCAGGACCAAGTAAGGGAAGGGTGACTTGCTTCTGAAAACCACCAATCCTCACACAAAACAAAGCTAATGATGGTGATGACTGCCATTTTTTGAGGGGCCTTGACTACAGGAGTTCTCATTTCCATCCCAATCTGACAGGGAAGAAAACTGAGGCACGGAAAGCTGATTAATGCAAGGTCACACAGCAGTGACAAGCCAGGCTGTCATACAAAACCCAGGGTCCTCTCGGTTCAGCTTTTCCCAGATTGCAAGCAACAGGCTCTCAGCACCAGCATCCTCTAGAGGGCTAGTTTAAAAACCTAGGGGCATTTGATTCCTGCCTCCAGACCTGCCAAATGAGAGCGTCTAGGGATGGAGTTTTATAAAGACAAGAAACTTGAATTTTATGTATGAGAAAACTGAGGCACAGAGAGGTGACATGACCTGCCAAGGTCACACCTTAAGCACACTTGGGAGTCCTAGTTGGACTCCAGAGCCAGCAAAGAGAGACTTCCTGGGGGCATTTGACAGTGTGCACCTCAGGGGAAGACAGGGCACTATAGGGGAAGAAGACAGCATTAATAAAGGCTGAAGCAGAAAAGGACGGGCAACACCTTCTCCAAGTGGCTAGGGGAATGAAGAAACACATACAGAACCACAACTGCAGCCTTCCCCCAAGAGACGATCTGAGCTTCTGGGAAGAAAGCCTGTCATGTGTGGCCTTTACAACCCTCAGGTCTCCTGCAGTGGCCCCTCTGGGTGTGGTTGCTACTCAGGATGAGAAAGCCAGGGAAGGTGGTGACTCAGTCCCCAGCCAGCCTCCAGATAGCCTCCTTTTAAATCCAAGATGAGCTCAGGGACTGAGGAAATGTCAAGAAGACCCTCCTCCCAGAACAGATGGGAACAGACCCAGGGAAGGCGGCCTGATGGGTAGGCTATCAGGCAGAAGCCATAAACCTGGAGAAATGATGTGGGCTCTGGAGAAGTCAAGAGGCCTGGACTCCAACCCTGCCCATGAAGTCACTGCTGTGGCTGTGGGTTCCTGAGCAGGTCCTTGTCTCTCTCTAGGCCCCCTATTCTTCATGCCACTGGCTTCTGACTTCCTTCTAGGCCTGGAGGGAAACAATGGTCTGGAAAGAGCCTGGCTGATTTCACAATACCTCACACAGCCTGGGAGAGATTAGAAGATCACTCCTATTACTACTAGAATAGTCACAGGAGCTTTCCTAGTTACCTGAACCCCAACCACAGGGCGTCGTGGGGGAGAGGCTGGGCTTCTGCCTAGTTCCTGCAAAAAGAAAAGTCACCCAAATATTTTGGGAAGGGAAAGTTCACATTCATTAAGTGCCTACTGTGTATCAGGTTTAAAAAAAAAACACACATAATCTCATATAATCCTCATCATAATCCTGTAGTATAAACCTTGAGTCCAGATGAGAAAACTGAAGCTCAAAGGAAGTCATTCACCCAAGATGACAGAGGCAGCGAATGATGGAGACGGATTAAAGCCAGGCATCTGTGGTTCTCAAACCCAGAGTTTCTACTCTCTAGAACAGTTTCTTTTCCTTTTTTTTTTCTTTTTTTGTTTTTTGAGATGGAGTTTTGCTTTTGTCACACAGGCTGGAGTGCAATGGTGTGATCTCGGCTCACTGCAACCTCCACCTCCTGGGTTCAAGCAATTCTCCTGCCTCAGCCTCCCAAGTAGCTGGGACTACAGGCGCCTGCCACCATGCCCTGTTTCACCGTGTTAGTCAGGATGGTCTTGATCTCCTGACTTTATGATCCACACTTGTCTCGAACTCCTGAGCTCAAATGACCAGCCTGCCTTGGCCTCCCAAAGTGCTGAGATTACAGGAGTGGTCTGCTGCTCATACAATTCTTGAGGGTTTCCATGATGTCAGAATCAGCCTTAGGATAAGGAATGTTATTACCACTTTATGGATTAGAAAGCTTAGCCCTCCAAAAAGTGACATTCCTAAACGTGGATGAGATGTGGGGACTGGGATCCTGAGCCCCTCACTTCCAGGCCAGGGACCAAGCCCTTCTTCTTTCCCACTGCAAGCAGTCAAAGAGCCAAGCACAGGGCACACAGTATAAAAGGTCAAAAAATGTTAGAGATTGTCATTATATACCAGGGGCAGGTGACACTAGCATGACACTGACTTCTTCAGAAGCAGTGCCATGGAACAGGACCCAGTCCTGGCTCAACCCTCTGTGGGTCCCTGGCTCTTCTGGGCCTCATCTCTTCATCTGTAAGACAAAGCCCTTGAACACCTGATCTCATTCCCTGCATCAAAGTTCCAGGACATCCATCCTAAGCTCCTTGACAGCAGACCCCACCTCTGTGCAGAGCCTCTCTCAGCTGAGGCCTTTGTTCCTTTATTCTACAGGGGAAGCAGGAAAAGGAGCCAAGGCTCACAATTACAAAGTGACTTTATTCCAAGTGCCACTGTCCAAGCAGGGCTCAGCCATAAAAAAAAAAAAGGGATGGAACATGGAAAATCCAACTGTCCCCCAGCACAGACATCCCGATGGGCATGCCCATCTATCTTTACAAAGGGACTAACAAAGAGCAACCAGGATTGGGATCTGAACGAGACACAGCCATCTCCCTGCTATTGGAAGGGCAAGTGCATTCCTGAATAACCAGGAGGCAGTGGGGAGGAGGTTAAAGAGCCCTGAACTGTAGTGTCCGAGGCCTGGATCCCTGTCCCAGCTCCGGCTGGCGCTAGCTGTTTACCCTTAGACAAGCTACTCTCCTCGATGGGGCTGTTTAAAGACAGAACAGTTCAGAAAGCATGTCTACAGACGTTTCATCTGATTAGCATGACAACCCTGTGAGGCCAGCACAATTATCCACTTTTTACAGATGGAGAAACTGACACTTAGGAGGGACAAGGGTCTCACTCAAGGTTACAGACCATCAAGCTGGCAGAACCAATGTCCCAGAAAGCCAATCCTCAAGGGTGGTCGGTCAGATTAGGAACAAGCCCTTTTCCTGCTCATCCTAAATCAAGTCTCAGCAAGATCCAGGCAGCACAGACCCTTGTTCACCTGCCCACTCTAGTGTTCTGCAAAGTTCTGGCCACGAACCCCACAACCCAGCTGCCTAGGAGGCTGACCCCCCCCAATCCCCCTTGCAAAATTTCATTACTCAAGCTGGCAAGAACGCAGCCCCCACACCCAGCCGGGTCTAAATAAACGTCCAAATGATATCACATCCTGCCGGCTCCAAAATAGCCCAGGCCTGCCCACAAGCGATCACAAAGTGCCAGGCCATGCAGGGCCAAGTGGGCAGGGATGCCCAGCCCGTGGTGCCCTCCACACACTCAAGCAACTAAAGCAGAAGCCTCAGAGCAGGAAGGCCCCCCCAACTCCCTCCTCCGCCAGAGAGCCTGGCCCCTCCCTCCCTTCCCCCCTTTGTGGGAGGCCCCAGAGCCCCCTTGCCCCAGCGCCAGCCCTTGCCCCAGCGCCAACCCCATGGAGCCTCGGCCGCGGCCAGCCTGCAGGCCAACTCCGGCCCGACCCGGACACCCCACCACTCACATTGCTTCAAGAGCTCCAGACACAAAGCCATGAGGGCCGGATGGGGGTCAGAGACCCAGAGACCCGGCAAAGATAGAAAAAGGAAGAGGGAGACAGGGAGCAGAGAGAAGGGGAGACAGGGGGCTGGGGCAGAAAAAGCAAGGGGGGGGGGCAAGAGCCCCAGGCAAAGAAGCAGACTCAAAGGGGGGCTCTACAGCGCAAAAGACACAGAGTGGTGAGACCACCGAGACAGATGTGGGGCACAGAGGGGCAGGGAGAGCAAAGCAGGGGACCCCGATCCTGAGAAGTGGGGGTGCTTGGAGACCTGAGAGAGAACAAGGAGAGACAGCGACAGGGGACAAACCAGGGGAAAGCAGAGAGGGGGCCCCTGAAGTCAAGGAGCTCAGGACATATTGGGGGGTCCCAAGGAGAATGACCTCAAGGGACCTAGGAGCTCCCAGCTCCTAGGAGAACACCCTGAAGAGGGAAAGCCCAGGGGTAATGGGGGCTTAGAGGAGGCGAGAC